TTATTTACAATATATTATAATTTTATTAAGAAAAAGATACAATAACTGTAGTTAAAACTAAAAGTTATTCATAGTACCTCTCAAAATTACCACGTACATCTCAACGTACCACAGGCGATTATTAGGGAATTAATTAACAATAACATATTTTTCCTTAACTAATACATTATAAGTTAATATTTCGCTTTTTTTGCATCTTCATTTCGTCCATCTCACCTGTCTCAACCCAACCTACACCTATCGATTCCCATGGTTTTTAGCAACAAGAGACTGAATAATGCTTCCACCTTACCCTCCGGCTTAGCTTAGTATGTAAAAAGACAATCTTTACTTTTTCTGGTGCATATACATTGATATTATTATTATTGTCAGTTTCGAGGAACTGAAGACGCCTTGGGTTATATAAATCTTAAAATCTCTCTCTCGGCACATACAAAAACAACTGACTACGTCCCTGTTCTTGATACAAAGTTGCATATGTGTAACCCGTATATAAAAAATTTGCTGTAGCCAAAGGTAAATGTTTATACATACATAAATGACAATCGGTATTATTATCGTAAAATGTCATTAAAAAAAAAGCGATCCTTCATCTCACTGTATCGGCATCAACTCAAAAGGACATTGGCTTGCGTCCGCGTGGTTTTTCACCGCTCTCGAGGTCGATCAATAACTTAGTCTGCAGGAAACGTATGTTAAACCGCAGGAAGAACTCGCAATAATCACGGCTGCGATTTTTATTCCATTTAACAATCAATTTATTTGTTTGTACCGCTTATGTTTAAGAAATAAATTGATTAGTTCAAGGGTTTTCCTGCATTCAAGAATAAGCAGAATCATGAAAGTTTAAGTGTCCGGGGTTTTCCTACATTAAGGAAATTGAAAGTAAAAGCACTTATAAATAATCAGTGTCAACATGACTTCGTAAGGTAAATAATGTTAAAGTGACACAGATAGCCCCTTCCCCCAACGAGAAGGAAAGCTTACGATTAATTAAAACAACCCTTTTCCTGAAAAATTCACATCTCGTAAATATTTACTTTTCACAATTACAACGAAGTTTTGCAGTAAAATATTGAGCATTTCTAATAAAATAATAATAATAATTCCAAAGTAATTGCATCTTAAATATTATTTACAAACAAATCTAAAAATATCGATACTTCAAAGATTGTTTTTCACCCAGAAATATCCAAAATCGGATTTTAATTCTATTTTGGAATACTTTATTTTTAGTTGATTTAGTCGCCGTTCGTCAGCAGCTTTTGCATTTTTACAAGAAAATCGTTTATTTTCGTCTCTGTAATTTTAAATCCTGAACCGATCGGAAGTATATTTAAATATGAAAAAGCCCTTTCAAGCAAACACAATTTGATTATAATTTGCAGGCGTAAGTGCCTATTTATTTAAAAAAAAAATACATCACACCGGGTGTAATCTGAAAGAAGAAAGTGGCAAATTTTTTACCACTGTTTCTTTAAATTAATTAGTGAAATTATTGATAATCATGATACATTATCAAAGCTCGGCAAGGTGACACGTATCTTGACGAAAACTGATTTTTGTGTAATCGAAGGTAATGATTCAGAATTTCGACCCCTTAACCAATTTTCCAATTTGAACACACAAAATTTCGCTCTTTGCAGTGGTTCAAGGAAATTTTAATTCGTATGATCCATAAACGCGGCAATGTGTCTTGAGGTGACATGTATTTGTTATCCAAAGAAATGATTCGTATTTTTGGCTCCTTATTAACCAATTTTCAGATTTGGATACGCAAAATTGCGTTCTTTACAGTGGTTCGACTAGATACGTATCTAATACGGTGGTACACTTCTAACCCCCGATTCAAGGGGCGTCACAATCGTATTTTAGTTATGCATTTAATTTCTAAAAATTGAAAATTGCGCGTTATCTAGAAATTTTATAGTTTTCCTTTTATTTTTTTATGAATAAAGCCTAAATTAATTTAAATCATGACTAGTTTTTAACAGTCTAGGCTTGATAAAGCCCGATTATTTAGGGTGAAACATTGACTTTTTAATGATATTAATTGTAACCTGGCTTAGCTCTTGGTGAAACATTTTTCAAAATAATTCATGAAATAACAACACTTGGTTTGTTTTTCATTTTTTAATTTAATATTTAAACTCTTTGATAATGGCATAACAGCCGAAACATATAAATAAAAAAATAGTGAAACAAAACCAAGTGTTGTTATTTCACGAATTACTTACTTTTTACATAAGAAAAAGCTTCTGCTACATTTTGGATTTGATACTGATAAAATCCTATTTCTTGTGATGTGGAGTGAAACATTTTAGCTCTCTTAATTCGCACTTTTATAAATCCTTTTATTCATTGTGCACACAATAATGTGCATAATTATGTACTTCGAAAGCAGGTCGATGAAAAGTGAAGGCCAAATCAATGAGCACTACGAAGTCTTGTAAGCTTGAAACTCTGTATCAATCGTACCAAATACACAACAATATTTTTTATTGTAATTTATTCAGATGGAATAATCCTGATATAATTGTACGAAATACTAAAGAAGGGTAATGAAGTAACTCTTGAGATACTAGTGGAATTTTATTACTTACAACAGTATGACGAAGCAATCGTTATTAACAAAGATGTGATTTATTTGAAATACTTGCATTTAAAATCCAAATACAAAATAAAAAATACCTATTTTTATCTTGCATTTAAATACTCTTTTAAGAAAAGCATTTTGTATTTTATTTAAAATACTTTTCCAACCCTATTTTCAATTTGTAAAATGCAAAATACATTTTTGCCATTAAAAGTTTTGCTAATATCAACATTTTGTTGTGTTAGAATCTATTAATCTATACATTATTATGAATGAATTGTTTTCCTACAAACAACAGTTTCTACAGTACCTATTTGTGACATCCTGTTACAAATACTTGTAAAATGTTAATTACTGAATGTAACCTGTATTGAAAAGTAATTCAAAGACATCACAGTCAGCTACAGTGTAAAATGAAGGTGCTGTATTCTGTTACCGGATGTGCTACCCGTATTTATTTGTATTCTGATCATGTTAATACCTTTTGTTTCCTACCATAGTCAGCGTACTGATTATGATAGCGTCATGATTAATTAAACTTGTACTTTACTTATTTCGCAGCTAACTTCCTTTTTAATAGTTTTCTGGTATACAGGGTGTCACTTAATCTAGCTGTTAAAATTTTTAAAGAAACTAATTGAACTGAAGCAAAAACAAACAATAAGGTAATTGAGTTCTGGCAGGTAATAGCAAAATTCAAAATAAATATTTCATGTAGACATTAAACTTTTAAATTGATTAAACTTTTCTTGTTTTTTTAAGACGATATTAGTAGGATTAAAGTTTAGTTTTTATTTAAATTTATTACTAAATGTACATAATTTGAAACACATTAATTTTTATTCACTACAAATTAGCTCAAATTAATGAGGAAAATACGTTTCGGTGTTGCTTCTGACACTTTTCGAAACTTAGTGCATTGGTACGTAAAGTCAAAGGTTGTCCTCCCAGCGAAAATGTGACAGGAGCAACTATATTTCCTCATTAATTTGAGGTAATTGGTGGTAGATAAAAATTAAATAAATTTTCTCATTAATATTAAGTGTAAGTACATCGTTTTATTGAGTTTATAGATTTTATTTATTTCAGTGGAAGAGGGCCAAAAGAAGAAAGGATTTTTCCGAAGTTTCTGGAAGAAGTCCCGACACTACTCCCTCGAAGAAAATCGCTAGCAAACATGAAAAGATGAAGATGGCACTAATTCAATTCAGGGTTTCCCCGTGAAACAAAAGGTAAATCGGACTTCTAGACACTCGCTTTTGTAGCAAACGGTAATGTTATTTATTCAGATTGCATGTTCGAGTATGATTGATTCCCAATGTGGTTGTAACACTGATGATACCTATTTAAATACACGTAAGAGATAACTATAAAATACGAGAGATCAGGGTTCTTTGGAAAAGGAAAAAAAAAGATAATAATCAAGATAAAGATCCAAATATGACTTTTACAGAGTTTTGAATTTCCAAAAAATCGTCAGATTTCAGCAACAAACCTTTGAATGTAAAATTGTTTTCGAAAAAACATTTTGTATCTAATTATATATTAAAATACAGAAATTCATCGGAAATAAGTGAAAATGTATTAATTAATGATAGTATCAATTTTTTGATTAATTAAATTTTGAAAATTACGGATATCAGAACTAAAAAAATTGGCATTAGAAGGACAAGGATCCTTCACCATTTTCGTTGCTTAAAAATGTTTGTAGATATTAAAATATGTTCCTGATAGAAAGATAAAACCAAAAATCGTGACGACACTTTTGCAACAATTCCGAATTTTATCATAACAATAAAACTTCTGTAGTAGGAATAATCACGAATTTAACTGCAAGTACTGTTTATTACAGTAAGTTATTAAAAAAAAAAAACGCACACGCCACTGCCAAAGAAATATCCAAATATTTTTATAACACACTGAAAGACTCAAATTTTAAATCCGTCTACAAATTTCTTTAGATTTCTTTGGCATCAAAATAATAGTTAAATAATCTCTCAATTCTGTTCTGTATAATCTTATTTTCACTTACCTGGTCTCTCTCTCTCTCTCTCTCATTCTTTTACAGTTGCAATTAATCCTTAATATCTCTTTTTTTAATAGAATAATAAAAATGCAAATAGATGCATTTTTCGTACTTACGTACTATAAGTATCTTATTTAGAAAATGTAAATAATAATAATCTGTTTCTAGAATTTTTGCAAATTTTGTATCACATAGATGGTAGCTATTGATCATACCTAAACAAAAAAGAATATTCCGAAAAATATGACAGTCGTTCCCATATTATACACCCTGTATTTTGTACCTACATACATTCATACATACATACTTATATTTATACATTTAAAAATTGCATGAAACATTATTATAATAGTCGTAATTTTAAAAAAGTGTTACCACATTTAACAGTATCGATTACGAGCGAGTTTTTGCAATTTTCTGATTGATACTTTATTAAAATTATGCAATGTTATAACTTTTACATAAGTAATGTAACGATTTTAATCATGCCGACTACAATTCGGATTTTACAAGAACTAAACTGTAGACAGATACATCAGTATTGTTATATTCACGTATTCATAGCATATATTAATGAATAGGGTGATTCATTTATCGAAAATTTTTAAATTGCATATACATACAGGTACGTTGAGTCACACTAAAAGATGATCCGAGGAAAATCATGATATCTTTGTTTTTTTCAATTATAACAGATTTCCGAAATCTAGTGATAAATATAAAAACCTTGCAACTTATTTAAATCCAAAAATTAAAGTAATTATAGTGGAGAATATTAAATTGCAACAAAAAGTATTAGGAATACAAATAATTTCACAAATTTTATTGAATCTTCTTAACGATAGCATTTCGGATTTTTACCAATTTCAAAATATACAGAGTTGTACTAAATATTACATTGTTTTCGTCAAAAGAATTGAATAAAGTTTGTGAAATTCTTCCCAAAGTGTTTTTGTACTATTAACTCAATTTGAATTGAATTGTGTACATTTGACTAAAAGTTTTCTTTTATTTTATTGTTACGTTAGAATGATTTTTATTTTTTATAAAGTTTCAGTAGTTTATATTTACAACCAAGTGTTTTACTACGTAGTGCTCATATTCTACAAATTGTAAAATACAAGAATATCATTGATTTAATAATTATAACACACGGTATGAAAAAGTTTTAGTCAATTAATTGATGCAACATAAAGTTTAAAATATTGATAAAAATTGTATTCTTAATCCCCACTGAAAATTAATTTAAACGTCTGACGAAATCAAATAATTTTCGTAGTTTTTCCCTTTTTTGTAACGCTAATGAAAACGTGTTAAATCTGTAAAGTGAATCACTCTACACCTATTATTATATATTCACAAAAAGTGCCCCAATTTTTCATATTTGTTATACTGTAATAAATAGACCTCAAGGGAAGAGTACGCTAATAGATAATATATTATTGTATTGGTAGATGATTGTTACATAATATATAATTCATACGAAATCTGTCCCTTTTGTGAAAACAGCGAGTTGTTTGTAATTTTTCTCTTATTTGTTTTATATTTTATATAAACGACTACCCTTAATCGCATTTTCTTCGGATGTATGATATATATAAATATGTATAGGCAAGTAGCCGCAATTTTGTAAAAAATATTGTTTTTTCTTTTATTTTTATTTATTCATGAAAATAATATATGTGCTCTCATACGTATAGTTCTCAGAGAAAGATGTGTGTCCTTGTGCAAGAATTTTGTGTAATCAGTCATAAAAAAGTATGTAAATAAATTATACAGCTTCTGTACAATACTTATTCTGTTTTTTCTTTCCCAATTCCACCTACCCCTTCGAAAATTTCACTTAGAAACAAAATAATAAATAATTCAAGTATTTTCTGTTAAAACTTTCCGATTACCCCTGATATTACAGTTAAATACTTGTTGGATATCCCTCGTATTTCACGCAGTTGAAGCGCCATCTCACGACCGATAGTCAAATATTGTTATATCTAATTTACAGATTTTTAACTGTATTACAGATTTGCAAATAAATTAATCAATAAAATTCAGCAAAAGTTCGATTTTCCTTCCTATACATGGGTTGACCTTGACCGAAGAAAACGAAAAAAATGCAATAAAATCTGATAATTTGGCAAAAATAAAGCTAACGAGAGCGTAATTTTATTTTAATTTAAGGAATAATCTTTGATATTAGACGTGATTTATTGATAAATTAAGTAAAAATTTTGAACAAGAGTTCGATTTTCGTTCATATACATGTTTTTTTAACGGAAAAAACGTAAAAAACGTTTTTCTCGTTCAAAGTCGACCTACTTATAAGAATAAAAATCGAACGAATCCAGTTGAAAATTTTTTGATTCGAACAATTAAGCAAAAATTTTCAACTGGATTCGTTCGATTTTTATTCTTATACGTCGGTCGACCTTGAACAAAGAAAACGTAATAACACCATAAATAATCATTTTATGGCAAAAATAAAGCTAGCCCCAGCTACTTCTTATCATTTATTAATTAATTAACGTTATCACTTATCATTTATTGATGTATTAAGAGAAAAATTTAACCATGTATTCGATTTTAGTTCCCGAAAATAACCCATGTATAGCTACCTGTCGATCGTTTTTGGGAACCGAAATCGAACTTCTGCCAATTAGTTTTGTTTAATTCATCGATACATGATAACTGATGATATAGATTAACCACTAAATGATATACCGATCTCCCGCTTGCTTTATTTTTGCAAAAAAATGATTATTTATTGTGTTTTTTACGTTTTTTCGGTCAAAACCGACCCATATATAAGAATGAAAATCGAATTTTTGCAGATTTTTTTTGATTAATTTATCAATAAATGGTATCTGACAACGATGATTATTCAGTAAATGATCTAAACGCGATCTATTTAGCTTTATTTTTTACATTGCTTTTCGCATTACTTTCCTTTTGCAAGTAAAGAAATACGATAAATTAGCATTATTTAACAAAAATAAAGTAAACAAAAGCATAATTAGATTGTGTTTTATTAAATTAAAGGAAAAAGGCCAGTATTAATCACAGTTTTATGGCCGAAAGCGATCCAAAGACAAGGGTCGTTTATGATTGCAATAAACTCAAAAAACAAGGCACAACAGCATAATTTGAAAAAAATAAAGCAAACGAGTGCATATTCAGATTGTTTTATGGTAAATTAAGCCACATTTTTATTGCTGAAAACGACCTGAAAATTTAACTTTATTTTGATGAAGGCGCCTGACACGCTACGAAATCAAATTTGTAGGTAAACTTCGAAAATCGAAAATTTGTATTAGGAGAGCATAAGATGCTTGGGAAATCAGACAAGTTACCGCGCAAAATTTAGTGTTATTATTATTGTTTAGACTTTAGTAGCTGCTTGGTAGACATCTGTAATACACTTGACACCTGTAAATTTGACTATTGGCCGTGAGATGTCGCCCTAGGTACATTAATACGGAGGATATCGTATAAGTCTTTAGCTGAAATATAAGGAATAATCGGAAAGTTTTAGCGGAAAATACTTAATTTCTGAAACTTTGCTGTATTAATTTGTTATATAAGCTTTGAATTATTTTTATTACTTCGGCTGAAATAATTAATGATCCTCATGCTATACAAGGGTGATTATACAGCATTTTTTGGCAAAAATTAAACAAACAGGGGTATATTTGGGCCATTAATTGCTGAATTAAAGGAAAAGGGCAATAAAAAACAAGCCGTATGCAAAAAGGAAAATATTATTTATTAAATTCACATTTAGTAACATCGGGAAACGAAATGAAAATTAATTTAAGTTAAACACTGTGAGGTAATGTGTAACTTTAAAGTAAAAAAGAGTAGCCGTAAGAATAGCAAACGTTAACAAGTAATTTTAATAAAAAAAATACATAATAACATTATCATTAACTTTAATGGTCAGTAAGTGCATAAAATAACATCAAAAACTAGTATTTAACATAACATAACTGTAGTTGATAAATAGTTAAACTGATGATCTATCTATATAATAGATGCATTTAAGTACGGAACTGAAAACCGAACGATTTGAGCAGATAAGCAAAGTTCACATTTTTAAGTCCAAAAGCGGCCCATATAAACGTTACAAACACAATAAAACAGCGTTACGGAACAAAAGTAAAACAAAAAGTTGGATGTTTTATTGATGTATGATGTGTTGCCTACGTGCAAGTTCAATTTTTAATTAAATGCCATTGAGTTTGGATAACATCGTTATTTAACATGAGCAAAAGTACCAAGCAAATTGAAAATTATTGTTCAAAATTAAATATAACGAAGGGCTTAATGTTTGCCAATTAAATATTAAATATATACAACAATAAAATGACGTAAAAAAAATGGTCTTGTTCTAGATTTAGATTCAGTGTGCTTATTAACGAAAAATTATATACATACGACTTTTTAAATTAAGTTTATGTTTTTTTTTCAGTATTTTATGTCCGCAAATGGAAAAATAAAAGGTACCGTTTATTCATACCTTACCTTTTGTTTCTCAAAAGGGGATTTTAATTTATTTTCATGTTGCACCGATAATGATATCGCGTCGTGTAAATCTGCAGCAATTATTGTAGTAATAATAAAAAGAACAAAAGAATTAGTAATAACATTAAGTGAAACATCGGTAATTTATAATACAAATTTATTAAGTTTTTTTTTATAGACACAATTTTCTGCAAATAATAGAGTAAATTTTACAAAGCTACTTAAAAGTTAATATGTAAAATGTTTCCCTCCACAAAAATAAAAAATTCGTGGGGGGAGGCGCGTAATGACAAAGTGGCTCGCAACAATTTTGAATTGGTGTATTGCTTCTGCAAAACTAATTTATTTTGAAGAAACAAGACAACAAAGATCACACAGCAATTTCATTCTTTTTTAAATTTATTAATAACACAATTCGTCCATGTCAAAAATATGGAAGAACGAAACGTTCATTTTGCAATGTAAATAAAAATTAAAATATCACAACACCAATAAAAAATATATATTTACTCTTTTTCCAATTTTATTGTTTTGAGAGAGAGCAACAAATGCAATTTAGTTTTAATCAGCATTTTTCTTCACTTGTTACTAATTAAAGCAAAAATCAATTACGATAATAAACTAATTGGTAGTTGCAAATCTTAAAAAAGTTATCAAAAACCTTACCAATAACGATACTTACAACTACCCACGATTTTATTAAAGAGAAATCCTCATTTCGTTTTCGCAATGAAAAATTTTGCCAGAAGTTTTAGTAGGAGGAGGAAAATAAAAAAAATAGCGGGACTAGAGATTTTTATTTAAAAAATCCTAACTTTAAGTTTTTCAGTATCAAATATTTAGATTATTATTATAGCAATGTTGTATAGGAAAAGCTTACATGAAATGCTGAATTTTATTATTTTAACTTGCTGTATGTAGTAGTACGACATGTCCCTTCGGCCGGTTGCTTTTTACATTAAAAAAAAAACTTGCCTGAAAGGGCATGGCATCACAAAAGACAGAAAAGAAAAACGTAACCTAGAAAGAGTCCTAAAAACAATGTAAATATGAGACCACAGTCTAAATAATTACGATGAGGAACGTAGGCTATTTTATAAGCACAATATAATCATTGATTAATTAAATACAATATATTGATTTTTTAATGCGTAAAATTGCAGTACTGTACGAATAATTTTTTTTAAAGATTAATTACACTTTAAAACCATTGAAACGGAGGTCGATGCTTATAAAATAAACCACTGCAATTACCAAAACGACATAATAATGCATATAATAAAAGTTTATGAAAGAAATTCAACGTGCTGCTGTCTTCACATTGAACAACTTTTATATACTGATACACTCGTTATACACATTGCTTCTTTTCGCTGTTAATTAAAAAATCAAATTTCGGTTGCTTGTAAACGCTGCAGGGCTGATGTGTAACGCAGCTATTCACGCTATCTGTAATCAAGAAAGTCCTGTTTCATTTCAAGTTTTCACAAAAAGGTACACATATTTACATATTATATTTACCAGGGGTGTTTTCGAATTTTTATGCTTCCGGGGACTCAAACGCTTCAAAACTGATCAAAATTTGAGTTCTATTATAGTCCGCATTATTTTTTTAACAATTTTCAAGCGTTTAAACCACTGAGAGCATAATCATTCAAAAACACCCCTATTAAAAACCAGTCTAATCGCAATAAATTATTTGTGAAAATTGACGTATCTTCTTGCTTGTTTCTATACTTTGGACTGTAGACATTTGTTACGTTTTAAAAACGCCCTTTGTTAAATTATGAAATACTTCATGAGTAGCAAAGACAAAGTGAAAAAAGATAACCGAATAATAGTAAATATAAAAATAGGCGTTCTGACAGCAACTACTCTAGTTAGTAAGTTGAAATAAGAAAATAAATGCGACAGTTATATTGTAAACTAAGTCAAATAATATGTCCATAATTTATTACCAAATCCAAAAATTTAAAAAACAATATTAACTATTTTTTTCAGACTACTTTTTTCTTTATTAAAAAAACAATAATAGTAAGTATAATAGTCAAAAATCAAATAAACCTAAAACAAAATAAAAATGCATACAACAAGAATCTACTCACCTCTAGTAACCGCAGGTAATTAGGTAATCCCCTAATTTTTCTACAACTGAAGCAGCCTGTTGGGGCTGAATGGGATCTTCGTAAAGGGATACCACGACGGCTACAACAAAAGAAAACCAAACTTTATAAATTGAGCTAAAGAAATGCATTACAATCAACACAAAAACAATCTACCTGGTAGGTACATGGACCTACATCAAATTATATGTTTCAACAATTTACGTTTACTAAAAAAGAGTAAAAACAGATGCGTGATCAAACCTAACGCCTTAATACATTAATTTTCGTGGAAATTCTTTTTGATTGGAAAAGTTCAATATGGAAATGCCTGCTTTAGTAAAAATACAGGGATGTTTTAAGTTACGATTCCTGCTACCAGTTTATTAATTTACAAATTGTTCAATGTAGTTTCTAAACTTCAATAACCGTCGAAAACATTTTCGATATTCACAAATTATTTTTTCCATTTTTATTCAGAACTTTAAATCAATTACTGAAAACTCACCAGAACCATAGTATAACTTGGTATTTGTCAAGAAAATAATTTCCTGCAACAGTTTATTCATCGTGAAAATCCGGATTGATACACCGCTTACGTCATCCATCGTAAAGCGTTTATTTTAGAGATATCATGTATACAAAAATAAATATGATAAGTTTTGGGAAATTTTAATCAAATATAGTTGTGTATAAAACTCGAGAAGAGAATATTTTTGAACCAAAATGATTTTTTTACAGAATATAAAACGATTTTTCTAAGTAACCATACATGGTGTTTCCAAATAACTCATTTTTCTTGAAAAAAATATACTGTCCTAAAATAGCACCCTCTAACATTACAAATGATAAAAATATAAGTACATATAAAAACTTCATGTATTTTTCTTTCGTCAGTTTTCATGATTTTACTTTTCAAATAGGCATGACTATTGTTTTGTTTTTATTTTTTTTTTTATAACGTACCCTAAATGTCAAACACAACTGTGTCAATTTCTATATTAGTTCGAGCATACAACGTCCGCATCAGTCAAAATTATTTTCGTAGGACGTGGAATTCGATCGCATTAAAGTGAGGCACAACTGTAGAGTTCAGGAACTGGCAAAGTATTTTGAGTTTTTGCCAAAATAAATTTCGTAGATCTGTTTTGAAATCTCCTTTTTAGGTTTTCTAACATTAATATGTGAATAAGTTAATACAAATAATACATTTCACGCATATGTAAATGCAACATTGAATTTGGATTTACAACTCCTTTATATTAAACGATAAAGAATACCTAATAACTACACGCATGTTTTACTTTCGAAAATAAATAAATAAGAAAATAGCTAAAGAAGTTGAAAAATTTTCACTTAAAATTAGTGACAGAAATTAAATTCCTTGTCACAAATTTCTAAAATTAAAAACGAACGTTTAAAAAACACAAACGAATTGAACTGATACTGAAAATTGCCTGTCTCTTAACAATAATTGAAATAGTGTTTTATGATACGCTGTTTTTTTTTATTTAAATTTATTACTAAATGTACATAATTTGAAACACATTAATTTTTATTCACTACAAATTAGCTCAAATTAATGAGGAAAATACGTTTCGGNTAAATTGCAACAAAAAGTATTAGGAATACAAATAATTTCACAAATTTTATTGAATCTTCTTAACGATAGCATTTCGGATTTTTACCAATTTCAAAATATACAGAGTTGTACTAAATATTACATTGTTTTCGTCAAAAGAATTGAATAAAGTTTGTGAAATTCTTCCCAAAGTGTTTTTGTACTATTAACTCAATTTGAATTGAATTGTGTACATTTGACTAAAAGTTTTCTTTTATTTTATTGTTACGTTAGAATGATTTTTATTTTTTATAAAGTTTCAGTAGTTTATATTTACAACCAAGTGTTTTACTACGTAGTGCTCATATTCTACAAATTGTAAAATACAAGAATATCATTGATTTAATAATTATAACACACGGTATGAAAAAGTTTTAGTCAATTAATTGATGCAACATAAAGTTTAAAATATTGATAAAAATTGTATTCTTAATCCCCACTGAAAATTAATTTAAACGTCTGACGAAATCAAATAATTTTCGTAGTTTTTCCCTTTTTTGTAACGCTAATGAAAACGTGTTAAATCTGTAAAGTGAATCACTCTACACCTATTATTATATATTCACAAAAAGTGCCCCAATTTTTCATATTTGTTATACTGTAATAAATAGACCTCAAGGGAAGAGTACGCTAATAGATAATATATTATTGTATTGGTAGATGATTGTTACATAATATATAATTCATACGAAATCTGTCCCTTTTGTGAAAACAGCGAGTTGTTTGTAATTTTTCTCTTATTTGTTTTATATTTTATATAAACGACTACCCTTAATCGCATTTTCTTCGGATGTATGATATATATAAATATGTATAGGCAAGTAGCCGCAATTTTGTAAAAAATATTGTTTTTTCTTTTATTTTTATTTATTCATGAAAATAATATATGTGCTCTCATACGTATAGTTCTCAGAGAAAGATGTGTGTCCTTGTGCAAGAATTTTGTGTAATCAGTCATAAAAAAGTATGTAAATAAATTATACAGCTTCTGTACAATACTTATTCTGTTTTTTCTTTCCCAATTCCACCTACCCCTTCGAAAATTTCACTTAGAAACAAAATAATAAATAATTCAAGTATTTTCTGTTAAAACTTTCCGATTACCCCTGATATTACAGTTAAATACTTGTTGGATATCCCTCGTATTTCACGCAGTTGAAGCGCCATCTCACGACCGATAGTCAAATATTGTTATATCTAATTTACAGATTTTTAACTGTATTACAGATTTGCAAATAAATTAATCAATAAAATTCAGCAAAAGTTCGATTTTCCTTCCTATACATGGGTTGACCTTGACCGAAGAAAACGAAAAAAATGCAATAAAATCTGATAATTTGGCAAAAATAAAGCTAACGAGAGCGTAATTTTATTTTAATTTAAGGAATAATCTTTGATATTAGACGTGATTTATTGATAAATTAAGTAAAAATTTTGAACAAGAGTTCGATTTTCGTTCATATACATGTTTTTTTAACGGAAAAAACGTAAAAAACGTTTTTCTCGTTCAAAGTCGACCTACTTATAAGAATAAAAATCGAACGAATCCAGTTGAAAATTTTTTGATTCGAACAATTAAGCAAAAATTTTCAACTGGATTCGTTCGATTTTTATTCTTATACGTCGGTCGACCTTGAACAAAGAAAACGTAATAACACCATAAATAATCATTTTATGGCAAAAATAAAGCTAGCCCCAGCTACTTCTTATCATTTATTAATTAATTAACGTTATCACTTATCATTTATTGATGTATTAAGAGAAAAATTTAACCATGTATTCGATTTTAGTTCCCGAAAATAACCCATGTATAGCTACCTGTCGATCGTTTTTGGGAACCGAAATCGAACTTCTGCCAATTAGTTTTGTTTAATTCATCGATACATGATAACTGATGATATAGATTAACCACTAAATGATATACCGATCTCCCGCTTGCTTTATTTTTGCAAAAAAATGATTATTTATTGTGTTTTTTACGTTTTTTCGGTCAAAACCGACCCATATATAAGAATGAAAATCGAATTTTTGCAGATTTTTTTTGATTAATTTATCAATAAATGGTATCTGACAACGATGATTATTCAGTAAATGATCTAAACGCGATCTATTTAGCTTTATTTTTTACATTGCTTTTCGCATTACTTTCCTTTTGCAAGTAAAGAAATACGATAAATTAGCATTATTTAACAAAAATAAAGTAAACAAAAGCATAATTAGATTGTGTTTTATTAAATTAAAGGAAAAAGGCCAGTATTAATCACAGTTTTATGGCCGAAAGCGATCCAAAGACAAGGGTCGTTTATGATTGCAATAAACTCAAAAAACAAGGCACAACAGCATAATTTGAAAAAAATAAAGCAAACGAGTGCATATTCAGATTGTTTTATGGTAAATTAAGCCACATTTTTATTGCTGAAAACGACCTGAAAATTTAACTTTATTTTGATGAAGGCGCCTGACACGCTACGAAATCAAATTTGTAGGTAAACTTCGAAAATCGAAAATTTGTATTAGGAGAGCATAAGATGCTTGGGAAATCAGACAAGTTACCGCGCAAAATTTAGTGTTATTATTATTGTTTAGACTTTAGTAGCTGCTTGGTAGACATCTGTAATACACTTGACACCTGTAAATTTGACTATTGGCCGTGAGATGTCGCCCTAGGTACATTAATACGGAGGATATCGTATAAGTCTTTAGCTGAAATATAAGGAATAATCGGAAAGTTTTAGCGGAAAATACTTAATTTCTGAAACTTTGCTGTATTAATTTGTTATATAAGCTTTGAATTATTTTTATTACTTCGGCTGAAATAATTAATGATCCTCATGCTATACAAGGGTGATTATACAGCATTTTTTGGCAAAAATTAAACAAACAGGGGTATATTTGGGCCATTAATTGCTGAATTAAAGGAAAAGGGCAATAAAAAACAAGCCGTATGCAAAAAGGAAAATATTATTTATTAAATTCACATTTAGTAACATCGGGAAACGAAATGAAAATTAATTTAAGTTAAACACTGTGAGGTAATGTGTAACTTTAAAGTAAAAAAGAGTAGCCGTAAGAATAGCAAACGTTAACAAGTAATTTTAATAAAAAAAATACATAATAACATTATCATTAACTTTAATGGTCAGTAAGTGCATAAAATAACATCAAAAACTAGTATTTAACATAACATAACTGTAGTTGATAAATAGTTAAACTGATGATCTATCTATATAATAGATGCATTTAAGTACGGAACTGAAAACCGAACGATTTGAGCAGATAAGCAAAGTTCACATTTTTAAGTCCAAAAGCGGCCCATATAAACGTTACAAACACAATAAAACAGCGTTACGGAACAAAAGTAAAACAAAAAGTTGGATGTTTTATTGATGTATGATGTGTTGCCTACGTGCAAGTTCAATTTTTAATTAAATGCCATTGAGTTTGGATAACATCGTTATTTAACATGAGCAAAAGTACCAAGC